TGAGTCGTCACTGCTTCTCCCAGGGTCTGCATTAGCAGATCAACAGGGAGCTGGAGGCAGGAGCCCCAGTGTGGCGTCAAGCACACACACTCCAGTGTGGGGCAAGGGGAGGGGGAGGGGAGGGGAGGCAGAGGAAGAAAGTAGGAAAACGGAGGGGAAGACATTAGGCCACTAGGGTCGGTGCTCACGGAGGAAGCAGGCAGAAGAGGCAGAATGAGATGGGGAAGAAAAGTGACAAGCAGGTGTTAGAGAAATCAACTACCCGAGAGGCCTGTCCATCACCCTGAACCCTAAAACACTGTGGAGGCCCGGGTTTTGCTGCTGGGTGGGCGCCAGCCGTCTCTCTTGAAGGGAAGGGAGAGGTGATGCTGGTGGGCCAGTCCTCCTCGTCTCAGCTGGAAGCCCTCGCCTGGTGCTCTCCCCCGCAGGGATCACGGGGCTCTGGTCCCTGGCCATCATTTCCTGGGAGAGGTGGCTGGTGGTCTGCAAGCCCTTCGGCAACGTGAGATTCGATGCCAAGCTGGCCATCGCAGGCATCGCCTTCTCCTGGATCTGGGCTGCTGTATGGACGGCCCCTCCCATCTTCGGTTGGAGCAGGTAAGGATGCAAGGGTTTGGGATGGAGCGGGGCCAGTCAGACTTGGTGGCTTCTGGGCACGTCAATTCCTGTCGCTGGGCCTCCAAGGCCTCAAAGCACGCAATGGCTGTGAATGTCTGACTCCACTTGGCTGCAACAGAGAGAAATGGGCCCTCCTTCCTCCGAGCATGAGCCCGGGCCATCGTTGTGGCCGGAAGGGAACTCAGGGCACCACAGGGCCCTCTCAGCAGCCTTGTGCCAGGCCTGCTCCTTGCACACTTGGGGCCCCCCTTTCAGAGGCTGCCCCAGTTGGAAGCACGCGTGGGCCTGCAGGTCCACGGTATCTTAGCCAAGCTGCTTGTTTGCGGAGAACCGCCAAGTTCCAAGCAAAGGGCTCACGTTTGAGGGCCGGGCTGAAGACGATGCATTTTGCCGTCTGATGTGACGACGACATGAATGAGCCGTGTTTGGAGAGAGGCTCTAACCACACAACACTGTGAGCGCACTGATGTCGTCGCGGAAACCGTACAGGGGAGGTGTGAGGCCTTCACCCGGGCCGGGATTTACCAAGATGCTGCCCGAGGGTTTCTTTCCGGACGTAGAGGTGGAGGTTACACAACACTGGCAGTGGCCTGGATCCCACGGAGCTGTTCACTTTCACACGGGGAATTCATGTAATATGAATCCACCTCCATTAGGAAACAGAGCCAAACCCCATCCACGTGAGTGACTCTGGGTGCTGACTACCCCTCCCCCCAGGTACTGGCCCTACGGCCTGAAGACCTCATGCGGCCCGGACGTGTTCAGCGGCACCTCGTACCCGGGCGTGCAGTCCTACATGATGGTGCTCATGGTCACGTGCTGCATCATCCCACTCAGCGTCATCGTGCTGTGCTACCTGCAAGTGTGGATGGCCATCCGCACGGTAAGCCCCGTGCCCCGCTGGCCTCAGCCGTGCCTGGCGGGCTGTCCAGGCTGGCCCAAGGGCTCACCCAGGGTGCTCTCCTGTCCCCCGCCAGTCCCTGCGACTCCTCAGATACGAGGATTCTGCCCCTGGAAGAAAATGCTCAGTGCCTTCGGGGATGCACTGCGCACTTCTGGCTGCAGGCGGTAGTTCCAGCCCCAGGTCCCCCGTCTTCAGCTCGCAGGATGGGGAGAGCCGGGCTGCCTGCCCGCTCTTTGGAGGAGCCAGAAACCCCACCTGCTCTCGCCACCCCGCCCCCCATTTCCCATCTTGTCCCCTCTCTCATTCGTAGCTCTTTCTTCAGTGATCCATTTAGGCCTCCACGCTCAGCCCTGAGCCCAGGTCTAGGGGGAGTCCCAGGCCAGGCCAGCTGCTTGCCACTCAAAGCTGGCAGGCAGCCCTTGAGGGCCACTGTGGCTGCCTGGGGCAGGTTGTGACCCAAGTCAGGGTGGGGCTGACCGCTGGCTGCTCTTCCCCAGGCCTCCCTCTTCCTGGGCTGCCCTGATCTTGCCACCTCTCTGACTTCACTGCCCAAGCAATGGCAGCATGGAGCCCCTTCAGACAAGAGCCCTGGGTGATGGCTCCACTCACTGTCCTGCTTTCTCCAGGTGGCTAAGCAACAGAAAGAATCTGAGTCCACCCAGAAGGCTGAGAAGGAGGTGACCCGCATGGTGGTGGTGATGGTCTTTGCATACTGCCTCTGCTGGGGCCCCTACACCTTCTTCGCATGCTTTGCTACTGCCCACCCTGGCTACTCTTTCCACCCTCTGGTGGCTGCCATACCATCCTACTTTGCCAAAAGTGCCACCATCTACAACCCCATTATCTACGTCTTCATGAATCGGCAGGTAAGTAACACCATCAGGAGGTGGAGCTTGACTATAGAGCCCGGAAGCATCCGGGGGGGCACCCACTTGGAATCGCGTCTCGAACAAGGAGCCCACAGAGCACTTGCCTGCTAATGACCAGGAAAAGGCTCAGCACCTGGCCCAGCCCCAGCCCGTAGCCGAAGGAACCCTGTGCTGATCCCAGCCCAGCACATCTGCGTGTCGTGCACCTCCCTGCTGTGGTGCTGGAGAGCTCTGCTCTCGGGCCCCCGGGGCTCCCCTGGAGTACACACGCTCTAGGGTGTAGTGTGCAGGTCTGCGTGTACCCTGGGCTCACCCTCCAGAGCGTACAGACTCCACGCTTCTCTTGACCACCTTCTTCCTGTTTTCAAACTCTTAATTTTTTGAGTCTGTTCTTCTATAAGAACAAAACCAGTCCCTTCTTGCCTGTGCTGGTCAAGAAAGGGCT